TTTCCTCAGTATCCCATTTAACCTTGCCCTGTTTCATTTTCAAACTACTGCCCATTGTCCTGTCACTCCATGCCCCTGTAAATAGTCCCTCTCCATCTTTCCTTTGCTCCCTTCAGGTGCTGCAAGGCTGCAATTAGGGCATCCTGAAACTTGGACACTTACGTGCTGACATCAAGCATGAGTCTCCCATCAGGCTCAGAGTTTTCTGTACCTCCAGTGAAATCTCCATAAGACTGATGAGATATTACAGGCAGTTCTGTCACATGGCAGAAATGCAGTCACAGCTCTCCACACTCTCCTGTGCACACAAAGCCAAGCCAGCAAGGTTGGACAGAATTGCCAGGATTCGTATGATGAAAAATACCACACACTGCCTTAGTTACTTCACCCACTAAAGAAACACTGGCTGGAGCCCCCATGCCAGCTGGTCAGAGCCCTAAGAAAACTCTTGTGCTCCCAAAGGTATTTGAAAAAAATGCTTTAAGCACAAAAAAAGGTATTTTCATACCTCCTCATTCACCTGAGCAGAAAAACATTTCCAGGGGGAGGGAATGATACAGAAGGCGGGCAGGAATGCACAGACAGAACACTTGCCTTTGGAAGCTCTGGCTTTTATTGGGGAGCAATTTAAAGATGGCAAAATCACAGAGTGAAGGGACCCACAGAGATCATCGAGTCCAGCTCCTGGCCCTGCACAGGACACCCCAACAGGAGTTTAAGATCTAAACTGATGTTTCCCTTCTCATGTGGCTCCAGGGAGCAGAGCCAAGAGCCAAGGCTGCAGCACTGTAATGTGGGAAAAGTGTGTGAACAAAGAGTTTGCCATTCAGTGGAACAAACAAACCTCTTCTTTAACCCACAAGTGGGAACACCCAGGGAAAACTACCAGGCTACCTTGAGCTGTTGTGTGAAGAGATGGGAATCAGAAGGAGAAATGTTAGATGTATTATAGGTCTGAAGAAAGTCTAACAGAACAGCTGTAAACAGCCATGGCAAGATCTGGAGGTCTAGAGAGGTCCCCACTCAAAGGGCTGCTTGGATCACTGGAAGAGAAAGGGAAGAACATTGGCACGAGGAATAAAGGGAGACAGCGCTTGGAAAGCAAAGCACTGGGAAAGATAAGGCTTGCCTTTGGAACTCAGGAAGACAAGGGATATTGATGGTCAGTGTTGTTTATGTTGGGGTACTCTGGTTACAGTAACATTTAGTAGTGCTTTTTGAGGCAAACAGACAGCCCTGAGAGCTCACACCGGGTTTGGAGAGCTGGAAAATAAACAGAGCTGCAGCCTGGTGTTCCTACACAGGCCCTGAACAGGCTCCTGTGGGAGGGGAGCAGCAGGGAATGGTGGGGCCTGAGGAATCACAGGGGGACTGGGGCTTAGAGGGGCCTTGAGAGGTCCAGCCTGCTGCTGGAGGTCAGACCAGGAGCCTCAGGGCTGTGTCCAGCCTGGGCCTGGCAGCCAAGGAGAGGAGAGGGACTGCCCAGCTCTGTATGTGCCTGTGCCTGCCCTAGTGCAGCTCTACCTGCTTCTGAGAGCTGTAAATATGGGAAGGATGGCTGGAGTTCCCCTGAAAACAAGGCCATACAAAGATTTAGCTGCACAACACCCAAATGTCTGCTGTTGCCCCGTGCCCCAGCCTGGGATCTCCTACTCACACTGGCAGCCCCATCTCCTGGGCTTTAGCTGCCAGGAATTTCCCCTTCTTTGGGTGAATCTGAAAAGACCAAAACATAATTATCAGACAAATAAACAGGGACAGGAAACACAACCCACACGCTCCCACTTTAAGTGTTTCCCCACAAGCCAAGGAAATACTTTCTTTTCCTTTTCAGTTCCACAGCCACTGCTCTCATTTACCCCAAAAAACCTTGGACCACACTATCTGCTTTCCAAGATCTGCCTGCTGCTTCTTGCTCCCTCCTTTAGCCAAGCAGGTAGGACAGCCTGTCCTGCTGGGAGGGTCGAGTAAGAATGCAACCTGTGCACTCTTAACAGCTGCTCCATAAAGAACATATGGAAAAAAAACATCTCCAGTTTTACACATTCCTACTCCTGCTACAGCAACTCCAACATTGGAAAAGCAGAAACACATTAGAGCTAAAAAGTACTACTTGAAAATGCTGCCTCCAGTTACATCTGTCCAGCAAGATGAAACGTCAGGGACCATCTAACAGAGAGGGAGGTCAAACACTGGAACAGGCTTCCTCAGGAGCTGATCAATACCCCAGCCTGACAGGCTTTAAGAGATGCCCTTAATAACACACTTTAAATGTTGGACAGCCCAAAGTGGTCGGGCAGTTGGACTGGATGGTTCAACCCTAGAAGTGTCCAAGGCCAAGCTGGAC